TCTCAGATCTCTTTGTCCCGTTGACAAATTAACCCCATTCCAGTTGTGGATGTCCCATTTAGGTTGTGGATGCCCCATCCCTGAAGGTGTTCAAGACTAGATTGGATGAGGCCATGGTCAACCTGATATAGTGGTTGGCATCCCTGCCCATGGCAGGGGGCTTGGAGCTAGGTGATCTTTAAGGTCCCTTCCAACCCAAGCCATTCTGTGAAGGCAGACAGGGTACTGGCAGCTGTTGAAGGGTGAATGGAAATAAATGGCTGGAGAACAGCACACCACTTGTCTCCATTGGCTTGCCGGGCCCTTGGGGTTTGCCAGTTAGGATGTAGCACTGCACCTGAGCTCACCTGGTACTTCTGCCGTGTTAGTCTGCGCTAAGTCCTCCCAGACTGGAGCTGCGAAGGAGCACAGTTCCCTGAAATGGTTTTACCTGAGGCAGGTTAAGACCTGCTGGATCAGCATTGGTAGAACACGGACCAGCGAGTGCCAGGATGGCTGGTGGCTGGATACTGTTCCTCGTTACAAGTCTAAAGTGCCTGAGCTTCCCGTGGCCTGCACTGTTTTAACAGCTCTTGCCCAAGTTAATAGACAGTCAGCAGAGCCCTTCCAGTGCATTAGCCTGACAACCTGGACATCCCAACAGGGGAAGAGAAAAGGATTGTGAGCATCCAGTGACTTGGCCATCTTCAGTGCACAGCTCCAGAGAAGTACAGGCAATACCGTGGGTGTTGTCTTCGGTCCTGTTAGCAAGACTCCCAGTGTGTTAAGGCTGCTTTCTTGGTGTTTACATCACATCAGATATAAAGATAAATTTGTCATCCCGCAAGACTGCATAAACCTTTCTCTAGATATGATGCAGATCTGTTGTAAAACTACATTTCAAAAATATGAATGCATTGTCTTAGTGTAATAAAAGAAAAAATACCCAACACCCAAGTACAAAAGAAACACCATGACCTCATTGCATTTATGTGTAAGTGAGGAATTTAGCAGACCGTTTTAAATTGAGAACTTGGGGCCCAAAGAAAGCTCCGTGCTGGAAAGCTTGTCTGTTTTATCATCTGTATCAAACAGTCTCACAAAACTTACTACCTCCACATGCAGACATTGACTATCTTGCGGTCTCAGATCATCAAAACTACAGCAATATTACCGAAAGCCAAACAATAACATTTCACACATGTTGGAAGTAGAGCACTGCTGCAGTTACCTTTAACAGATTGCTTGTTTGGATACCTCCAGTTTTAGTTTGCATTAAATACTGCAGGAGGCTCTGAATAAAACATGCCAGCATTGATTTCAATTTCAAATTTAGTTGAGATATTCTAAAATGACAAAAAATATATAATTCTTTTGTGAGGAAAACTTACTAGGTCTCTGAAGTCTGGTGAACAAATGATAGAGGGCTTGCATCGAAACAATGAGAAAATCAGTATTTTTGAATATATCATATGTCAGACCTGGTAAGCCACAATAATTACGCATTGTCTTTGATGAATGCCAACATTTTTTTGGAGTGAATCAAACTCTTACGTGAGTTGTACCTTCTAATTCTGCTGCTTAAGTATGGCTCATGACATCCTCTGATTTTTAGCATTAGAATAATAACATACTGGAAGGGTATGGTCTGTCTGGAAAGTGAATTGCAGTGCAGTTTTGGTTGCATTTTCAGTACTGAATTTTCTGCGTGGACTAATTTAAATCCACACATTTGATCTATTTAATATACACAGTTCCTCCTCTTTCAAGACCTTTTGCTTGAGCTATCAACTACTTTGATTTCCGGTGCGTTGAGGAGGGAGGCACTTTGGGAGCTGTTTTCAAAGCTGAAGAGATAAAATTAATTTGAGCTTCTAGGAAAAATATGATAGCCCCTTCATAATTGTGAAACAGATTTTATGTTATTGCTTAGAGGTAAATCCCTTCCTGTTCCTGGAAATGAACACAAGCACAGAAGAATAAAATCAGAAAGGTTAAGGCACCAAATGGTCTTCAATTAGGATATAAAAGGCAGTAAGAAGAGCCTCTACATACACAGCATTTTCCTCTTCCATCCCTAGTTTTCTGTAGTGTTAATTACTGAACAGGGATCAAGGGCAAGCCACAAAATGCACACAAAAACTAGCAGTCATGGCAACTCTGTATGTTGTTTTTCATGAAAAAGGTTAATGTCAAATAGATAATAGTGCACAGTTTTAGTAAGCAGACAGTGGCACAGGCAAGAGCATGCTCACGAGTAGGATTCAAAGTGGAGATCGGTGAAACTCTCAAATATTTGCAGGTTTATAGTTTTACGAAGTGCTTTGTAGAGAAAGATCAAAATCTAAAATGGGTTTGGGAAAATCAGAAAGGTAATATTTCAGCAAAATGGTGCTCAGTACAGAGGAGTTCAGAAGATTTGAGAACAAAATGAACAGAAACCAAACCGCTGTCATTCCAGGATGTCTCTTGCATGCAGAACACCTGTTAACACATGGAGAAGAGTTTGTTTCATTGTTCCTGTCATGAGGGGCCCCAGTTGGATCTGTCTGTTCAGTAAATGCCTCACTAGGAAAAAATCTGGACCAACTGAACGGTGTCCAGAGAGCAGTTGTTTACCATGAGGGCAAAAGTCAAGGGTGGGAGTGGAACACCTTACTTCAAGAGATTGGATTTTGCGTGCGAAACACTTGAAGAGTTTCCATACAAATGTTTTGGAGTCTGCTTTATTGGCTGGTTTCAAGATATTAGGACAGGCAAGCATTTGTTTCATCTAAGAACACTTAGACCCTACCTCGATGTTTGTGTGGATTAGATAGTCTCTTGACATCTCTGCTGTTCCTGTGCTTGTTTGAAATTGCTGCAGCTGTTCTTCCACTTGAATAATTTCACAAAAAATAGCCCAGATGAAATTGTGTCAAGTTAATGCTATGCGGCAGTGCTCGTGTTTCCAAAACAAGCAAACAAACAACAAAAAATAACCCTGGGAGCAAGTGACAGCTGGAATGTGGGAGACCAAGATCTAAGATGTAAAAATCTGGATATAAAGGCTTTCTTCTTCCCAGAGCGAAGCGCAGGCCCCCGCTTGATCAGTTAGCCATAAAATCACTACTTTGTAAGTATGAAGTGCTTGTACTCTCACAAGTTAAGGATTTCTATATAAAACGCTCGTGTATGCGTTTTTAGAAGTAATCTGTAACATCTCTAAAGCGTCATAAATTTTTAATGTCACTGGTTGCAGTAAGTAATCAATGGAGGACATAATTCTTCAGCTTGTGTAGAACCTGTCATGTCTATCTATGTGTTTAACCCAGGCAGGTAAACAGAACTTCAGATTTGGAGGCTGTAAGATGAAGTAAAGGAAGAGGGAGGGTTAGCACCCTGCTCCTCCAATTCCGGCTTCCAAGCTACCTGGGCACCAGACTCCTCAAGTCAAACAAGGTTATTCCCACAAGGCTGCAGTCCCACCCCATCTATCTCCATGTTTTTCCATGGAGGTGGATGTTGACCGTTCACTCACGGATGAACAGGAAAGGTAAAAGCAGAGTCGGATGATGTGGACATTGTGGCTTGTGCCCAAAGAGCGTGTCACACACTCTCCTTCCCATGCAGAGGGTGAGACCTGCTGGGGTTGGCCTCAAGAGCTTGCCTCCATTCTGCACCTGGTATCAGCTTTCAGCTGCTATCTGATATTTCCTCTTCATCCTTGCAACCTAGATGACTATACATCCAGATGAACATATGCTTTTTTTTTTTTTTTTTCTTAAACTCCATTTTACCCATATTTTACATAGCTTGGAGAACTTGTTTTTAAATAGCACAGGAAGGTCTCAAAGAACAGGAATTACTTGCTTTGTTGACCAGGCTACAGGTCACGCTTTCTATTTTGGTATCGTGAATATTTTCCTTCATGAGGGTAGGATTTGCCTAGCAGGCTTTTAAAAGAAGCTCTGGAGGAGGTAGCACAGTGACTTCCACAGCCCTGTGCAGGGAGTTCAGCCAACTCCGTCCTTGGGAAGAAAATGGGACGAGCCTCCTCCTCCCCTGTGAACCCATCTGCCTGCTGTGCTTGCCCAGAGCCCTGAATGAAGGATCTCAAGGACAGGAATGAAGAAACTTTGCTGTCAAGGCTTTGGAGCAGTTATATATGCTAATTCTTCTGCCTCCAAAAAGCTCTTTGCTCAGGGTGTAGACTACGAGGTGCTGCACGCTTTAAAGAGCCTATGTAAAGTCTCTGGGCTTCAGGTCCCTGAATGCCTAAATTTTAAGTTTGGATTGGGTTTGGCAGCCGTAGGTATTTGATATGCGCTGACTAAAGATTCAGCTGTATTTATTTTGCTGGTGGAATCTGTCTTTTGGTTTTGTACTGCAGGAGAAGTTCTCATGCCATGAACAGAGTAGTCAGGATTCACGGCACCAATTACTTCAGCAAACCAAACAGGCTTCTTGCACAGTTTCCCTGACTAATTCTAGCAGACTCCTATGGCTAACACATACTCATGCACCTATGCTGTAATTCAGCAGAAGCTCCTCTCAGCAGCGTTGTTGACTTATGTGGCATTTGCCTTTGCTGCAGCTCTCCACCCTCGCCTGTCTCCTTGGTTGTACTCGTGCAGTGCGAACAGCCCCAACCCCTCCAGCAGGCCAGGCTGCCAACGTGCTCCACGGCTGCTTCTGCTGGCACCAGTGAGCAGATGGCACCAGGAAAAGGTGGAAAGCTGAGGGATGCTCAGGTTGGCGAGGGCCAGTAGTACTGGCGTTCAGCAGGCTGTGCTCTGTTCGCTCCATGGATGTTAGTTAGCATCTTCCTGCACTTCTGTGTAGTGTTGCTTACTAGCTGTGATAAAGGGAATTTTAAAGAATCTGCAATTTAGGGATTCCATCTGTTCTTATGCCAGATGAATGCATGTTTTTGCCTGAATAACAGTTGTTCATTTTGCAGGTGGTTTTCATTTGAACTGTTTGGAGGAAAAGCAGTGCCTAGAAACTGATTTGATTTTTTTGATTTTTTTTTGATTTAGGTTTTTCACTTGCTGCAGTCATACTTGGAATCAAAACAGTTTGTTAATTCAGACTTTCAGCGGGGACTGGGTGACATCATTACCTGTATAGGAACCAAACTGTGGCTGGCTAAAAGGTAAGACAAAACACAAGATATATGCATATATATTTGTACATATAGGTTGCTAATGTTTTAAGGGCTGGGCTCATTTATTTTATTTTGGAAAGGCGGGTGTATTTATTTCTCTAAGAATTGCGTAAAATTTAGATTCTCTTTTTTTAATCCAGATTTTTTTTTTTCCAAATATTAAGGGATGAAAAACATCTGTATTCTTTACAAATGCTTTCTTATTTTTCAGTCTTCTTTTAGTTCGTTTTCAGCTAAGTATTGTAGTCCAGTCATTTAAAACAAAAACAAACAAAAACATTTTGGATGAGAATGTCTACAGTTGCAACCCTTTTGAGGAAAGGATGAATGTTGCTTCTGGGCTAAGAAAAATGCACTATGCATATTTTAATGCTACGTTCTCTGACTTGGCCTTTACAAAAAGAGATGTAGATAAATGTTATAGCATTTGCTGAAACTGTCAAAAGTACTTAGCTGGCCACAAACAATTCAAGACAGCTCTGGGAACATTATCCTTAGGTTTCTGTAAAAGAAGGCCATCTTCAGATGGGCTGCACACTGCTCTCAAGAAACATGCTTTTTTTTTCTTTTTTCCCTCTGTTGGAAATGCACTTGATCTTAGCAATTGCTTTTGAATGTTCCTCACCAAAAATTTTAAAGGAAGCAATTGTTATGGAAGGGGGGCGCAAGTTCTTGCATCGGTAAGTGGGTAAAATATTCTCCAGTACAGTTTGCGCAGTGGAAGGAAGTCACCAGTAAAGTCCAGTGAAAATCTCTGATGGAAGCACAGGTTGCTTTGTGATCATCAAATGCAAAATCCAAGTGATTTGGAGGAGGGAGGTGATTAGCATTTCACTGCCAGTGTTAAGTGAAATGGGGGAATGGAGTTACAGTTGATCTTCAAGAGATAGAAATGTCTTCTGAGTGGGAGTGAGAATGACGAAATAGCAGGTAAAACTTGGTGTAAGTAATTGTGAAATGATGCTCATGAATAAAGCAGTCTGAACTTTATTTATTTGGGCAAACGTGGTCAACTCTGACCAGATTTTTACCACTTCAGAGAAAGATCTTGACCTTGCACTGTGGAAAAAAAAGTTGCCTCGATTCTCAGTAGAGCCCAAGAAGAGAGGGGGGTCAACTGTTATAAAAGGAATGGAGAACAAACAGAGAACACACATCCTGACTTAGTTTATCTAGTAGCCAGTGTTTATTTGAATACTGTGTAACTCCCAAAGAAGGTACAGTAGAAATGAGGAGCAGTAGAAAGACTGGTGATGACTACAGAATGGTTTCTAGATGGAGAATGACTAAATATGCTGAGATACGTTTTTTAGCCTGGAAAAAGGACAACTGGGGGATGACATGGAAAACATTTTTCATGCTGCGAGTCACATGGAAAGGGAAACAGATGGTTAGGACGCCTTCCAGTGCAAGGTGGCAGATCTGAAATAAACAAAATAATGAAGATTTTCATGTAATTTTAGTTCAGCTGTGGAACCCCATGCTGCAAGATACTGTTGTTTTTAAAAGTTCTATGTTTTCAAAGTAGTTTTTCATAACTCACCTTTTTAAGGTATTTGTCATATTAGTACTAACTTTTTTGTAGTATCCTGAGAATGAAAATGCTTTCTGTCTCTCTCTGAGGTTGTGGTACATGGAATCAGTATTTGCCTAAATAGATATAGTTTCTCTATCTGTTTTCTATGAAAAAAATCATTTTCATATTCATACATTCTTAATTACACAGTTAATGCTATACACACACACACACACATATATATATATATTTATACACATTTAAAGTCTTTCTGCCAGAATTCCCAAATTATATGTTAAAAGCATATAGATTTGCAACACTACATTAAGGTGTTGTTGGTGGTGTTTTTTTAGACAGAAGCGCTTTTTGCAAATTTCTAATGTACTTGATCGTTCTCTCTAAGCCCATGCAGTCGTGTCCTTAGACACACTGAGGCAAGGATGTGTTTTCTGGTTTCTCCTTCTCCCCTTTTCTCCCTTCCTTTATGTGAAAAAGGGAAGCGAGTATCCATTAAATATTTGGTAGCCAAATTTGCTTCCAAATGTGTTTTCACCTTAAGACTACAATAAATAATAAAGCTGAAAAAAAATTACTTGCCTGTTAAGTTTGTACTCAAGATAAACATGTTCACTGTGGTATGATTAAAAAAAAAAAAAAAGATATTGAATGCAGGGTATTTCCTGGTTGTTTTGGTTAGAGAACCTGGCAGCTTCCCTCAGATTAGTCATGGCTACTATGACTATTGCAAGATGCAAATAATAACTTAACGAAAATTTGAGAATTATACTTCAAGAATGATTGTCCCAAGAGGAATATCCAGGGAAATTTCAGAAAATGCCATAGATCTGTCTGAGAATTCAGGTAGAATGTAATTATAGCTGCACTGAAGGGAAATTGATTCACACCAAGTGAGAGTTGAGGCTGGTGTTTTCACCTTTCTGTTGCTTTGCTTGACAGTTGTCATGGCAGCGTTCTAGCTGTGTAAAAGTCATTTTGAAGGAGGGCAATCGACGTGACATCATAACATTCAGAGGGACATTTGGTAATGTTACGCAATCAAACTCAGTAATGTTAATAACTTTTATTTACAACAAGAGGAACATTAAGAATAGCAATAACGATAATAATTGCTTATTTTTCTTGGACTGTCCAGTGAGTATCCTAGTACTGTTTGACTCGTGTCTCAGCCTTGTGTGCTTCTCAGTGCTGATGTGTTTGAGTGTGATGGATCCCACAGACTGGAAATAGGAAGAGGCCAACATTGACCTTCTGTAAGATTTCAAGGAATTCAGGGGGGCGGGGGATTGGGTTTGCTATAAATTAAAAATACAGATGAAAAGTGAAAGTTTTCTGTTTTTTGGACTCTTCCTAGCAATATTCCATACAGGATTTTGGGCTAGCTTGGGGGGAGAAGGATTGGAGGTAAGGGGCTCCATTAGTACGTGCTCTATCCCTCTGTGTCCATTTCAGTGTGCATCTTTACCACAGGTACTTGGCTCTGTGGAGCTGAACAGAACGGCTCTGTGATGAAGGACGGTGGGCTTGTTTTGTTGTTGTTTTGTTTTGAAGGAGCTTTGGGAGGTCGCTTAGCATACAACTGTGCTTATTGCACAGCGTCAGTGTGTTTTCTATAAAGGTAGTCCCTGCTAACTTGTTAGAGTTGTTTGGGGGAGTTAACAAACACATAAATAAAGATGATATGATTGATCTGCTTTGATTTCCAAAATGCACCAGACAAGATCCTTTGCCAATGGCTGTTAAAGAGATTAAGCAGTTGAGAGATAAAGGCGCAGATCTTTGAATCGTCAGATTATTGGTTACAAGAGGAAACGAAAGGTAGGAGTAAAATGTTGAATTTGCATGGTGGGACCAATAGGGGTTTGTTAGGATCTGTCACGCTTAACTCATCAGTGACCTGGAAGAAGCAGTGAATAGTGAAGTGCCAAAATGTCTTCTATTTGGTGATTTTTTAATGTAGTGAAAGTAAAAGCCAGCTGTAGGGAGCTGTAGTCTTAGGAGATTGAGTATCACGATGATAGCAAGATGGATGAAAGTTGCATGGAAAAAGTGATGATATCTGTCTAAGTTTGCATGTGGTGTGATGGTGGTCTGAGATGACTTCGGAGTGATAAATGTGTTTTGTTCCATAAAAATACTAGTGCAGTGCTCAGAGGCAGACTGAAACAGGAAACCAAAAATTGATGGTAAAGAAAAGAAGGAGAACAAAGCAAAGCATGTTATCCACCAGTGTGCAGCTGCAGCGGGAATGTGCCACTTCTGGTCTTTTCATCTCAAAACAGTGCTGGAGAACTGGGGGGGAGCATGGCAAGAATAATCCAGGTTTGGAAGCTACTCCATGTAAGAAGTGTCGGAATACACTAGGACTATGACACTTGAAAAGCAGTGATCTTCCATCTGTCTGCTGAGCTGGGGGGTCGGTGGGTTTTGGTTTATTGGGTTGTTCTACCTTTGTAGGACAAGAACCTAATTCAGATTGCGATCAGTGGTGTAAAATAGCTTGAGAAGCTATTGCATTATTCCCTGTTAACATACTTGTCTCCTCCCTTCCTTTTGCCCCCATCAGATTTTGCTTTAGAGAATTAAAAAAAGGCTCAGTTTCCCCACGCAGAATTTTGAAAAAATAGTAATTTTTCTTCCACTGGTATTTTCTGTCTGTTAAGGCAGACTTACAAGGTGAATGGGACATGGCTGCTTTTTTCCTTTTGTATCATATATTAGAATATCAGAAGAGCAAGCATCTTTTTTCCACCTTTGTTGTTTTGTGCATATCTTTTAAATACGAACCTCTCTGAGTACTGAAAAGCAGTATTTCTGTTTTTGATGTTTGGATGAGAGAGCCCTGTCTTCCATCCGCTTCTTGAGATGAAGCTTGAAATTTCGTTTACAGGTTTACCTTCACTTGGCATTTTTTAGTTTGCTTTAGAAATGGGTTTGTTTGTTGGTCTAAAGAGTTTAAAGTGGTTCAGTAATGTTATTGCTCCCCCCACCTTGGGTATTGGTTGTATTTTTCTGCAGAGATGAGAGATGCGGTGTGTTTGAGAAGAACAAATGTTCCGAAGTGCATGAAATACGTCTCGTTTGAGGACCGAGGTGATGGAATGAAGTGGCGGAAAGCAGACTGAAAGCTTCAAAAAATAATCAGCCCTTGAAAGATTTCAAAGCTCTTTCATGTGACTTAAAAATAAAAACTTGATTTTTTTTTTTTAAAAAAAAAAAAACTCAATTGCATACCAAGGAGCTCCAAGGCGAACTCGAGGTGCCTTCTGTTTCATAAATACAGAGAGCTGAAAGAGCAGCCTTTGGAACTGGTGATTTGCTGCACAGAAGTCCCGGAAATACCTGTCTTGTTTCACTTGTAGCCTTTGGCATGGCAAAATATTGGTATTGGAAAAATTGTGAAACGGCGTTGCACAGCTTTGCTGTAGGATGCTGTCTTCCACAGTGCTCTCAG